TCTCCAGTTATACCCGTCAGGGATGAGTCGAAACTAATTGATCCCCATTAGTGCCCGTATGAGACTAGTTGTGACTAATTAATGTCCAATTGTACCCGATTGAGAGTAATCTCGGAATACTCTCTTTAGAGATTAGTCGCACAATTTTTAGCAGGGATGAGACAAAATAGATATGTAACGTAATTTTCACTTCTCCAGTGTGGCCCAGGCGCACTTACTTTTTTCAAATCTACTGTCTCACCAAGAATGAACTTTTCTAAAGTTTTATAAAACGTTGCCGATTCAAATTTACTTGTCAGTGAGCAAACGACTTGGTCCAAAATTTATAATATAACTTCCGGAAATACTCTTTCAATTGGACTTATTTTTCTTTTAAAAAATTTGCAGGTGGGTAATTACCCACCTTTAAAAATTGTAGGTGGGTAGTATTACCCACCATACCCACGTCTTCCGCCGCCCATGTATAGAGGTTAAAGTTTTGTGACTTTAAAACTCGAAAGGAGAAAATAGTCAAAGAATCAAAGTACAAATTTTTCATATAATGAAGCTAGTAAATAGTTTTTCTCTTTTTACTTGTAAAGTAAACATTTCTAAAATAAATGTCTTTTATGACTATTTTTCGGTTTTTGTCATTTTAGTGCCTTCTTTTTGCGATTTCCAGTGCCTTTTCTAGCTAATTTCGTTATTTGGTTTTGCCTTTTTTATAGGTTTTTAGGTCCTAAACATCTAAGAAATCGCCTCATGGAAAAAAAGGCAGCAAAATTACTTTTTTTTTAAATATAATATGTCCCTTTTGAACTTTGACTACTAGATTAAAACACTGTATAAGTTAAGCACTCGTTCAATGTTCTAATAATTTACAAAACTTTTAAGTAATAAAAATGGTGGATTATAGCTTTTTTTTAATGTTATTCCTAACAGTCGCATTCGCATTCTTAAAATTTGCAATCGCATTTGCGAATGTGAAAAATATGACATTCGAAACATCCCTAGACTGAATGTACAAAATGTCAAAACAAAAAATAATCATCACGTTAAAAATAAAACATTTTTAAAATACAAGCGGAAAATGGAGTACATGGTAAGAAAAATTCGTTTTCGAACAAAACGCTTTCAAATCGGATTACGTTGTAACCGCCCTGGTACCTAAATACTATACATACTCGTAATTATACCTTTCATGAGCATGAAATGGTATTATAACTTTGGTCCGATGTTTGTAAGTACCAGAACAAAAAGAGATGGACCCATGAATATGTATACTTATATGATCAGAACGTCGAGCTGAGTTGGTTTAGCCATGTCCGTCTGTCCGTCTGTCCGTCTGTCTGTCTGTTTGTATGCAATCTAGTCTCTCAGTTTTCGAGATATCCGGATCAAATTTGGTAGGTGGGTGTATTTTTATAATGTATTAATCATTTGTCGGAACCGGAAGAATCGGACCACTATAACATATAGCTCCCATACAACTGATTGTTCAGATATGAGATTTTTCGTTATAACTTCTCCATTTATGCAGCTACGAACATGAAATTTTGCAGCACTTGCACCCATTATCAACAGAATGCTTACAGTGAAAATTACAAAGATCGGGTCACTATAACCTATAGCTCCCATACAACTGATTGCTCAGATATAAAATTTATCGTTATAACTCCTCCATTTATATAGCTGGGAACAGGAAATTCTGCACTGTTTTCAATAATTATTAACAGAAAACTTACAGTGAAAATTAAAAAGATCGGATAACTATAACCTATAGCTCCCATACAATTGATTGTTCAGATATGAGATTTTTCGTTATAATTCATCCATTTATGTAGCTAGGACCATGCAATTTCGCGCTGTTTTCACTCATTATCAGCAGAAGACTTACAGTGAAAATAACGAAGATCGGGTCACTATAACCTGCAGCCGCCATACAACTGATTGTTCAGATATGAGGCCTTTTATCATATCTCCTCCATTTATGCAGCTAGGAACATGAAATTTCGCACCGTTTTCACTCATTATCAACAGAATACAGTGAAAATAACAACGATCGGGTGACTACAACATATATCTTCCATACATCTGATTGTTCAGATATGGGATTTTACTGTAAAACTCCTTTATTTGAACAGCTAAAACCGATAAATGTCGTAAGATATTTTATAAATAATAATACAAAGTCTACTGAGAAAATCGTCAAAATATATGCTGTATAAGCTTTATCTCCTATAGCACTGATTGTTCAGATACCAGTTTTTGCGATATATCTCCTTTATGTAGGAAACTAAACCCAATAAATTGTGTTACCGGTTTACATACCGATCACATAGCAGTGAAAATCACTTAGATTGGTGCCATATAAAGTATATCTTCTATACCTCTGATTATTTAGATGCGATTTTTTATATAAGTATGTAACTCCTCTATCGATGTATGCAAATATATTCAAAATCAGTAATCTGTCAAACTAAAAGTTGCAGATGTTCATGAAAGGTATGAAGCCTTCGGCATAGCCGAAGACAGCGCTGCTCTTACTTGTTTTACTTTGTTATCTGTTAGAAAAATTTTTCTCCAAATAAACTCGACTCCAAGGACGGGTATAAATATTTATATATACCAAATATTAATGTAGATATCGAAAACTATGAAAAGCATATCAATAACACCATCCATAAAATATCGACAAATGTAGCGGTAATCACAGCAATAACTACATATATCACAAAATTTGTCATAAACGATATCGATAAAATATCTCTGACTGACCGATAATAGGTAGTTGATAACTATATCGATAAAAATAATGCTGATTATATTTATTAAAATATCAGCAAATTCCTATTTTGAAAACTATATAGAATTTAATATTTTTTTTTAAGATTTGCAATTATTTCGAGGCTTTTTGGGGGTCTCGGAAATTTTCAAGTGAACATTTAAATTTTATCTTTGCTTTGTTTTGGCTTTTTAATATATAAAATATATAACACCGTCCGCCGCGATTTCGCACCCATGAAAAAATCAAGCATTTTCAGAAAGTAGAGACAAAAAAGGAAGGGGAAAAACAGTACCCTTATTTTGCCGTTTTTCTAGATTAAGTCATTTACGGTTTCTATGAAAAAAAAAAAACCTCAAACCCTATGCTGAATCGGTGAGTAGCATATTGCTTGCGATTTTTTGAACTTTACTAAACTTGGTAGTCAAGGGTTTTGGGATTGCTGATAACGAATCCGAAGTAATTTTTAAAAAAATTCAAAATGGCGGAGCCTATATGGTGGGTGGATTTTTTTTTAATTTTCAGATTTTTATGAAATTTGATATCCGATACTTCTTTGAGTAGCTAATAACATAACTCGAATCAGTGTTTAAAAATTCAAAAATGGAAGATCCAATATGGCGAATGGATTATTAAAAAGTTTTCAGATTTTTATGAAATTTGACATCCAAAGGTTCTTTGAGTTGCTGATTACAAAATTGAAATCAGTTTTCAAAAAGTCAAATATCGCGGACGAATTTTTAAAAAAGTGTCAGTTATTTAAGAAATTCGATATCCAAATCTTCTTCGAGTCGCTGATTACAAAAACTGTCGTAGAATAGTTCTCTCGAAAGCGCCCAAAGCCTTCTCATCTTCGTTCGACATGATGAGAGATTTGTAGAGCCAAATATGTACTCATTAAGCTTCAATTCATTCAAAAATTGGTTATTCATACGTCATGTACACCTACTTAAAGGCATTATTTACCACATTGCAGTTTTGTTCGCTTCAGTTGCTAGTTGTTACAGAAATGTTTTTCGAAATTCACGGCAGTAAATTACGCTTACCTTCCCAAGCTTTTGTGCATAGCATATTTTGCAACCTATTTTTCCACTCAAGCGTCTAAGGCCTACCATGCTTGCAGGCAATTAAACTCTCAACTCGCTCACTTAGTTTGCATATCGTTTCACTTATGAGTTATCGAGTGTTGTTTACGCCCACATATGAAAAAAGGGGCCGGCTTTGTGCCATTTACAATTTTCGAACACATTTACTACTTTATTTCCGTTTTAGTTAGGTACTTTTTAAGCGAATCTTCTCTTCTTTTATAAAATTTACTATTCGGCTGACTAGTCATTGCTACTTGGCAGGCTGCCAGTAAAATTACCATCGTTGGGCGGTTATTTCAAATTCAATTTTTGCATGAAAACAAAAGGCATTGTTCGATGGTTCTACGAAGTATAAGAAAGAGGAAATGAGAAGAGGAAGAGAAAAACTTTTGTTAAAAATGGAAAAGAGTCGCAAGAAAAGTTCAGCGCCTACAAAAATAAATGCTTCAAAAATGTAAACTGGAAGAATTAAATTTTCTAATTAAATATACAAAGTTGCTTATTACCTTTTTATTTTAAAACTCTATCTTTATCATATTTATTCTTAAATATTTTGCTGAAAAAAATTGCTTAAGTAAGCTGCAGGTTTACTATACACCTCTACAATTTAAGCTCCACTTAGAAGAGTTGAGCTTTTGGCCGACAACAAGCCTCTTTGAATATTCATGAATTACTACAGAAGCATTAAAATAAAAACAAAATACATACATATAAACAAAATAGTCACTTCAAATCATTGCTTGTTGCAATTCATTTTACGACACTTCGATTACGTGGCAGACGCTGCAATAAATCAGCAAGCTCACCAAATGGCAAAGGCTTATGTATATACATATATACCACCTAGATGCTGCCATTTGAAATGCAAGTAGCTAATACCACTTAAAACCAAGAGCAAAGAGAGAAAGGCTGCTGGCACTCAGTTAGTAAATAACTGAGAAGAGTAGGTGGGTCTCCAACGGTGATGAACTTTCACTGATTGCTTGCCACCAATGGAAGGACGACAGAAGAAGGTGCGGCCACGAACAGCACCACAACTCATAAATTATTACCTGAAAAAATTTTGCCTAATAAAAAGTATTCAGCAGGCTCACATTGCATTACTCAAGGTTGTCAAAAGTCGTTGAAAGAAAAAGCGCAAACATTTTTTCTATTTTATATTCGAATGTTAATTGTATTTATTATAACTTAGCAACAAGTCCTAATTCTAAGTGTAGCTATCGTTCGTTGATCCGTAGCCCTCTTCGTTGTAGCTTCAAAGCACTGAAAGCTGGCCAGATAGAATTTTGGGTAAGGTTTGCATTCGCACATCAATTTTATCACCAATATCATAGTCAGTGTTCTCAGCGCAAGGACTACAACCGCAGCTTGCCGGGACGTCAACCTGTGAAAAGTAAAAGAGATGAGATTTTTGTTAGTCTTCGGCTGATTTTTGAATTTATTCTTAGTCTTAGACTGAGGCGTAGTCTTAGTTTAGACTTACAGGGCAATTCTGGTAATTTTCTTTCAACTCACCACAGTCTTTCAAAAGCGAAAAGGTATAAAATATTTGTATTAAAAAAAGACAAAAAAAAACTAAAAATTAAATGAAATAAAAAATATATTTTTCTTTTTAAAACGGTAAAATCAAAAAATTTAAAGCAAATGAAATAAAAAAACAAAAGAATAACAAATTAAATTAAAAAAAGAAGAAATAAATAAGACGAAGACATAATGAAACCTAACTGAAAAAAAAATATATAGACAAATTACAAAAATTAAATAAGTTCCTAAAAATTGAATTGAAATAAAACAAGTAAGAAAGTCTAAGTACGGGCGGAGCCGAACATTAAATACCCGGCGCAAGTATTAAATATATGTTTTTTCACCTTTCCGAATCCTACCGCTAGATGGTAAGCCGGGGTGTATCAATTTTGAGTAAATTAGCGTCTTTAAATTTCAAAATATTGAAATTTCAAGCATTTCTGAAATTTACCGTTATATGAAAAGCGGCCGTAATTTTAGTCCGATTTCAACAATTTTCAATGGTTTACTTTTATGTGGCAAGCACAATAACCATACCGAGTTTGGTACAAATTGGTAGAACGGTTACCGATATACATATATGTGATTATAAGTGGGCGGTGCCACGCCCATTTTCCAAAATTTTAGCATTAACGTATTTCTTGCTAAAGAAATGTTGCAAGCATCAATTTTGAATAAATTAGCTTCAATATTTACTGATTTATCGAAGATTTTGTATTTCTCTAAATTACCGTTATATGGGATGTGGGCGTGGTTATCGTCCGATTTTAAAAATTTTCGGCGATTTTTTATGCTGTACCAAGGCCAACAACTGTGCCAAGTTTCGAAGAAATTAGTGCATCGGTTACCGAGATATACACATGCAACCATAAGTGGCCGTGGCTACGCCCATTTTCCAAAAATGTATAACACTCTTAGTTTTCGTCTAAAAATTGTTGTAAATATTAATTTTGAGTGAATAATCTTCAGTAGTTACTAAAATATCGCAGTTTTCGTATTTCCGAAAATTACCGTTATATGGGAAGTGGGCGTGGTTATTGTCCGATTTTTAAAATGTTCGGCCATTTAGTATGCTGTATCAAGGCCATCAACTGTGCCAAGTTTGGAAGAAATTGGTGCAGCGGTTACCAAGATATACACATGTAACCATAAGTGGGCGTGGCTACGCCCATTTTCCAAAAATTTATAATATTCTTATTTTTCGTCTAAAAGTTATTGTAAATATCAATTTTGAGTGAATTATCTTCAGTAGTTACTAAAATATCGCAGTTTTCGTATTTCTGGAAATTACCGTTATATGGGAAGTGGGCGTGGTTGCAGTCCGATTTCGCCCATTTTCAATACCAACCTATCTTGGATTAAGGGAAACGTACATACCAAATTTCGTTGAGATATCTCAATTTTTGCTCGAGTTATCGTGTACACGGGCGGACGGACAGACGGACAGACAGACATGGCTTAATCGATTTCTTTTTTCATCCTGATCATTTATGTATACATTTGTCTATATCTATCTCGATTCGTTTTGGCTGTTACAAACAACCGTTATGTGAACAAAATTAATATACCCTTGTGCACAAGTGCGCTCGGGTATAAAAATATATATTTCGCCTTTAAAAAATTTCTGATAAATTAAATTAAAAAAGAAAAAAATTTTGATTATAAAAAAAATTAATTTAAAAAATCCTCGGATGTCTCGCGAGTGACGCGATCTATATGATATACAAGTGCTTTCTCTCAAAATAGCTTTTCACCACAAGTGGTGAATCAGAGAGACTTTTGTAATAGAATAACAAAAGTCTTTCCAACTATTTTGCTATGTGTCTTTCATTTATCTTACGAAAGACGTTTTACTATCTTAGCCAGAAATGTCCTGTTAGTCTCAGCCTTAGTCTTACTCTTAGCCTTAGTCTTAGTTTTAGTCTTAGCTTTAGTCTTAGTTTTAGTTTTAGCCCTAGTTTAGTCTTAGGCCTAGCCTTAGTTTTGGTCTTAGTGCTGACCTTGACCTTAGTCTAAATTTTAGTTTCAATAGTAGTATTCCGCTTATTCTTAGCCTCAGCCTTTGTCTTCTTCTTAGTCTTAGCCTTATTTAATCATAATCACTCCGTTTCGTTTCATTTAGGGATCCCTGTACTTGCCTTTTTCTCTAGCTTGCTGCCATTCTCACAAATCAGTGGCACAGTTACTGCTTTCCAACTCTTAATACTGCAACAGTGGCAATGCTTCTCGTGCGTAGCCGAGTCTTTATTGTATTTCGAACCAGACGAACAAGCGCCCTCGCAGTCTGTGAAACCCTGTATGGGTGCTTTATTTACACACTTACCCACACCGGGCTGTACAATTTCTATTAGTTCTACTGTCAGCGGTTCAACCAAGCTGACCGGGAGGCAATTCTCTGTAAATTCAGCAAAATTAAATAACTTTCTTAACCTTACACTTCTTCACCCAACTTACTCTGGTCCTCGGCAGGAGGTTCACTCTTGCACAATTTACAGCAACCCCCTTCGGTGGTCACCAATAAGTGTGCCGGGCAGCCACTCACATCTGGGCAAGTTTCTTGTGAAGAAGACACTATCAACACCTCACCTTTCCGCTGACAGCTGTAGATCGTGCAGTTATCGGCGCTCGT